TCCCTAGGAGAATCCGGAACTCTCCTAGGGAAGATTAGAATTCCGATCCCCTAGGGGAAATTGGAATTGAAGTTTTTCTTCTACAAAACTGGGATCTGAATATCTGAATTCCAATCTCTCCTAGGAGAGTTCCGGATTCTCCTAGGGGAGATAGGGATTTCACACCTAAACTTTCAATCAAATTCAGCATAGGTAAGTGAATATGTAAATCAGACTCAGATATTTGCATCAGGTCATTGTGAGATAGTGAATCAAAAACCAGTTTTTCCAGTTAGTTAGTGACTTGGTATATAAGGGATTGTTCCCCATGCCAAGCCAGTCAAAGTGACAGCATACTGATCAAGTCGTGGCGGAGGATGAACAGCAGCAGAAAGCAGAATTCTACAGATTGGTTGAAGAGCATATCAGCAATGTTGGGCAGAAAAAGAACAAGAAGCCATAGGCGACAATTCTCCGTGAAGTATTATATATTGCAACAAAAAGAAGTAGCCATTGGCGACAATTCTCTGTGAAGTGAGATAAATCGAACAAAGAAAAATTGTTTAAACGCGCGTCGGCTCAGTCATCTTAAGACGCAACAACCAATCAGAGATGCGAAATGCCGACACGTGACGCGGGATTTGCATACAGTCTAAACAACGGGGAAGGGCGCGCGATGCCCGAAATATTTTTGCGTCAATATTCAGCGCTGTGATTCAAGAGATTAATACCCGGAAACAATTTCTTTTCTTGTTTTGAACGCATAAACATGCATTTACGCTAATCTAGTATGATTCAGGGTTACTTTTTTTTAACCTGCCATGGCCAGATTATCTAAAGTTGTGTGTATTGTGTGTACAATCTACAGAAAGAGAAATGTACATCAGGTCCGATCATCCGATTTTCACGTTTCGGTTTTTCGGACTCGGTTCATGAACGTATTTTGGTTTGGCTCCTGGAATGTGCGAAAAAATGACTCCCGGGACTGTCTACAGGGAACACTCGCACATTCGCGGTGTATCAGGACAGCGCGACTGGTCGGCATTAGCGCAGTCCCTGCAATTAGTAACAGTTGCACATCAATCCGGCCGAAAGCATGATTGTGTAACACAGGCTACTTCTTCATATACCGGCTCATACTACAAGACGCCTTTACAACTAGCAAATCATAAAATTACCCGATCTACTAGTATGTGCGGTTTACCAGCCCCAGACCACATCCGACCACGAGGCAGAACACATTGATGGGTTGCTCAAAAATACAAATGTATTGTCCATGTTTACAAAGAGCTGCTCCACAATACACGCCGCCACTAGGTCGCCACAGCCGACCAGTTCGAAATCGATAGGATTACGTCATCGGTATTTACATTTCGTAATGCTGAACATTTCCGTCCCCATCACCCAACATAAACGGACGAAAACATTTCAAAGAAATGGGGATGTTTCGAAAATAAGCATTTACTCCAATATCAAAACAGCTACGGTAAAAATAAAAAGACGTGCATCACCCCGGGCATAATGCCACACAACATGCGACATTACACAGAAATGCGACGTACGGAAGAATGCGTTTTGGCTGCGAACATCTTCCAAAAAAACTTGCCATCTCTTAACCATGGGCAAAAACATCTGGAACCACTTATCAAAACCTGCATGAAGTTCCACCCCCCCCACTGCTATTCCAAACAACGCGTTTTTCTGGACCATTCCAATTCGCCTCGCAATTGTAGGGGTGCGTCTGTAATATTACATTGACCGCGAAAGCAGCAACGGCAAAAATACACATTCGTGCATCAACAAGGGCATGCCCGCAGACGGCGTATAAAATTGCGTGCCGATTACACAAAGAGAACCCAGTGTTTTGACTGCGAACATGAAAAATCAGCCGATCACAACACTCCGTCCGGAGGTCCTGACCTCCTTCACGGAGTAATGAGTTCTAGTATTTCTACTACTAATCTGGGATCAGAATATCAGGATTCCAATCTCCCCTAGGAGGATTCCAGATTCCCCTAGGAGGATTCCAGTCTCCCCTAGGGGAGATTGGAATTCTGATTTCCCCTAGGGGAGACTGGAATCCTCCTAGGGGAGATAGGGATTCCAATCTCCCCTAGGGGAAATCATAATTCCAATCTCCCCTAGGGGAGTTCCGGATTCCCCTGGATTCCAATCTCCCCTGTGACATATATTTTTCCAATGGTGCTTTCTGTTACCAGTAATGACACATGAGATCTACAGATATACAGTGTTTATAGTGGTTGGTTACATAACATCTGTAACTCTCATCGCTAACCTTGTCAGGTATGTGTCTTGGAATGATACCATTCCTCATGCTGGATGACGTCTTCTCCTCTGTGACCCTTGACGTGTGTGAGACGGTCTTCCAGTTTGTGGAGGATGGAGTCTCAACATGGAAAAAGGTAGATTCAGAATTCCAGACTTACCAAACCTTCCTCAGTGATAGTTAACCTTGAAATATAAAAAGTTTTGATAAAGATGAACATTGATTGTAAATTTGATTCTGTCAATATTGCATAATATATGGTGAATTGATTATTAACAAATTAGCACCACCTAGCTATCACTGCTTGAACTGCAAGCATGTTCATGTACATGTTTGTATGTGTTATGAAAAAGGCCTATGCAATTTCTACAATCATTGAATAGTGAGGAAATTTTAGTCCAAAATGATGAGCGTAAAATGTATGTTGCTGTCAGAGATATGCTTCCCTGTTGTCAACAACATGGTTCCTTCTTTTTTTCCCTCAGGAACCTTATTACACAGGGGGAAAGAACTATTTGCTCAGAATGTGTAATGGTAAGTCTGTTTCAGTGCTGTCGTATTAAGTGATTCTCTTTCTGTTTGGCTCGTATCCTAGAAATCACACATCTGTACACCCTGGATTGATTAGTACTTGATAAAGATTACTGCATAAGTAAAAAATCAGGAACTAAAATGTACTTTTTCTGCACCAAATACACATTGATGACCTAAAGAATTGTTTGCATGTTAACATATAAAAGGCAGGTTTTGGAAAAGATATGATTCACATGAAGAACAAGAACAGCTACAAAACTTTTCTTTTTTGCCCTCAGATCTGCTGCGCCGACTGTCTAGGTCACAGAATACAGTGTTCTGTGGTCGCATCCAACTCTTCCTGGCACGACTTTTTCCACTGGAAGAAAAATCAGGTGTGTCTTCACTGAGGCGATGAGAATGATTAAAGGGCATATCTGATATACATGGGATATAGATATCATTCTAAATTGTTCATTGACAGTCTTAACTGTTTACTGGTTAAATGTCCTGTTAATTTCTCTTTCTGTAGGAGGGGTGGCATTATGGGACATTAAAAGTGTAGTGTTGAAAATTCTGATACAGTTTTAACTTTCCAGGCCTGAACCTGCAAAGCCACTTTAACCTGGAGAACGTGACCTCGTATAACCTGAAGGGAGATGACAGCACCATGAGGTCAGAGGACAGGGACCGGGATGAGAGTATGGAGATGGAGGAGGGAGAGATGTCTGATTCTCACAGCAGGTCAGACAACACACATCCTCCGGGGTAATCATAGACTTTCCTGTAGCATCGTGTGACCTGTGTGACATTGTGTGGCCTTGTCGCTAGGTTGGTTGACTCACGATTAAAAGGTTCTGAGTTCAAATCCCAGCAGATCCCAATGTTATGCCCTTGGGAAAGGCCCTCTTCAGAGAGGATGTGTTAAACTTTAAGTTAGAGTAGGATTTCATCTATGTGATATGAATTCTGGGTTCATTTTATTTCCAACAGTTACTGTTTACATATCAATCTGGAAAAGGTGTGAAAAATGTAGTCTTTGAGAAATATAGTATATGAGCAGTACCAAAGATTGTGGATCCATGTTAAATTACTTTATTCAAACATTTTTATACCATTGTACTGATATGCAACTTATTTTACTCTTTCACAGCTTTACACCTATTGACTACAACCTGTACAGAAAGTTCTGGTCCATCCAGGACTTCTTTCGTAACCCTAACCAGTGTTACAAGAAGGACCTATGGAAGAGCTTTGCCAGCGTGAGTTGATTTTACCATGTCAAAATGCTCTATCTTTGTTCATGGTGTACATTTATCAAGCATTTGAAGGATAGATACCCATCATACATTCCTTGTCCAAAAGTAAATTTCTTGCAGTTTAACTGTTTTTGATATTAATATATACGTGTGAATTTTTATTCATTCTCCCTTAGAACTCAGATGAAGTTCTGAAGTGTTTTGAGAGTCACAAGCTGGACGATGTTCAGGCTTCCAAGAAGAAAAAGGAAATGCTTGCAGGGGATCGTGGCAATGTGTACTTTGCTAAGTACCTGACCAGTGAAAAGGTAAGAAGGAAGAAAAGAAGCCATATGACGGTTGACTGTGTAAACAATGGACACAAAGGCTGCTTTTATGGTTATGATAAGTTTCCTACTGTGCCAGTTTGTCTACCTTAGAATACAAACAATGTGTAACAGAGATAGAAAGAAAGCGATACAGCATTATGTAGATAATGCAGCAACTAAACATTATTATTAATTTTTGTTTCAGCTTCTCGATCTCCAGCTTGCTGACAGTAACTTCAGGAGATATGTGCTGGTACAGTTTCTCATCCTGTTCCAGTACCTCAATGCACAGGTCAAGTTCAAAGCGTAAGTGTAAACTGCCTTGATATAGAAAAGTACAAACAATTGTGAGGTTTTGGTTGTTGTTTTAGTACATGTATATGCCATTTACCACAATGAAGAAGGTGAGTTTTTTTTACTCAGGCAGACTTGGTTCTGGACTAATGATGTGTCTTTTCCACTATTGTATACAGACCCAATCTGGTAGTATCTGATGAGCAGGCACTCTGGATAAAGAATGCTACAGACATGATTTACAAGGTATGTACTTGCTTGCTCTTGTTTTGTAAGTTCACCGCTGACGTTGATCATGTATCATGGTGTTCGACATTGATAACTCTAAAGCCTGAAGGAAAGAGATTTGGTTAGTGACAAGCTCTCTTTTCCGTACGGTAGTATATTTACAGTATGTCTTTTACAACTTCTGTAAAGTTTGGGCCCCTTGGCAGCTTTCTTTGGAACTGCAGGGGCATTTTTTGTTGGAGCCGTGGTGTAAATGTTGTGATGTTCTCCAGCTGCTGCGAGAGACGCCTCCTGAGGGAGACCAGTTTGCTAAGATGGTGCAGCACACCCTGGAGCGGGAGGAGAACTGGATCACCTGGAAGAACAAAGGATGTCCTACTTATGACAGGGAGAGGTTAGTGACATTGAGAAGTATAGGGAATTGATTCATCCCAAACGCAAGGCTTTAAGCTTACCTTGATTTCATAGCCAAACTTGCACCCTTTTGATTTTGATGAATGTACCTGTGTAAAGGTATCCCTCTATCCATATCCCGTCACTCTATCCCTATCCCTCTATCCCTTTCTCCATCACTCTATCCCTTTCCACATCCCCCTATCAGTCTATCCCTATCCCTGCACTAGCACATACCTTTGAACTGGCAACAATATAAAGAAGTTGAATATTTTGACCTCCAGTGACAAGCTTTGGGCACAACTGATTATAAAATAGCCGTTCTTTGTTTGTTGCAGGCCAAAGACAGAGACCCCACTAAAGAAGTCCCGTAAGAGAGCGATGGGTGAGGACATCAAAGAAGCCGAGGACAGTAAGAGGGTGAACATGGGCAGTTCAGAGTTAACCAGGCTGTGGAACCTGTGTCCTGATAACATGGAGGCATGCAGTAATGCTGAAAGGTACATGGAACTAGAAAGGGTACATGTGTGAGCAAATGCAGGATATTTCCCTCCTAATGGCTTTTAAAAATATCATTTCTGTGCAAAATGGAAAATGTATGTCTTCTTACTTCGGGCCAATTGACATGGAAGTTGATATGGGGATAGCTTGGGGATACAGGCTCAAGTTTTTAGATTGTTTTGCTGCAGGCTTTTAGAATAATAATGGGTGGGTTTATTAGCTATGTTCTCTGAGGATTGCTTGTTTTCTTCACATGCAGTACTTATTGATACATTAAACCCCTATTTCCAACATTGAATGCTGCTACAGAGAGTTCCTTCCTACCCTGGAGGAGTTTTTTGAGGAGGCCATTGAGCAGTCTGATCCTGAGGCTATGGTGGAGGATGAGTACAAGTTAGTCTTCATATCAATATTGTATTTGCCCTTTTGTGTAGAGTGTTATATTTGTATCGATTCAGTTTGAAACTCTGGCAAATTAATATTCTCCATGTAGTTTTACTGATTACTAATATTCTTCCTGTACGGTTGTACCTCTACAATTTGGCAATTCTTTGTTTTGTGCCAAAGCATGTTGTACTTACTTAGATAACTTTGATATAAAATTAATTAATGTATTTGGATATTTTTATCAAAGGGTTCATATCACACACATACTTGTATTTGTAATATGTACTGATGTTGAACTTTTCTTTTATAGAGTTGTCAACAATCCAAACTTTGGTTTTAGAGGTAAGTTTTCTATACAGTGCTGCATCTTTCTAACTCCTTTTTAAAGACAAAGGTAACTTGAAATGTTAAGCTTAACAATGTGACGTAAGCTATGCAGCTCATAGTGTAGTAAACATAGGATATGAAAATTGTTCTGCAATGTTCACAACTTTAAGTAGACCCCATATGTTGTTCCCCATTCCCAGCACTAAGACTCCTGGCATGTCGCAGTCCCCACTTCTTCCAGCCCACCAACAACCAGTTCAAGACCCTTCCCTCATACCTGGAGAACATCCTCAGCAAGCTGGCTAAAGAACTACCGGTAGGGTGCTGAGATTTTTAAAAAGAGAGTATGATGGATTCAGGAATCAAAGACCACATTTAGGACTCCTGCATGGATAGTCGTCAACTGATAACCTAAAAATTTGGCTGACAAGTATAAAGATTATGTACTTATTAGGCTCACATGGCCATCAATATATTTTAACTTTTAAATGTTAGTCATGTAACTTGTTATTGTAAATTTGCCATTTATCTAATCATAGCAAGATACTGGATGTACTGAAGTGCCGACTTAAAATTCTGGTACGTTTCCTTTTTCCAGTCCCCGTCAGAAGAGCTGAAGACAGACACAGACATGGCTGAGAATGAAGAGCTGTTGGATGAGAAGAAACCAGACAGTAAGTACCACTATACATCCTGTTGGCTTCCTCTACCTGTTGTTAAATGGCATAGAGCAAATGTACATTTGTACATTATTGTAGCTCACAGGTAGTGGTTGATTGCAAGTGCTGACCTATAGTCACTGTACTGGCCTGACTGCATACAATGTAACATTACATTTAGCTAAACCAATCACACGCATCAAGTATTCAGTATTATGTACATTTAATGCATGTCACAAGTTATTTTCCAGGTAACAAGTTATAAAAATATCTTTGACATTTGCTAAGAACAGAAACTTTCTCTTTCAGGTCCTCAAGGCCCCCCACCTTTAACACAGGAGCACATTGATATTTTAGCAGAGAAGCTCGGTGCTGACTGGAAAAAGTTGGCCCCACATTTAGACTTCAAGGTGTGTATGATAGCACACAGCACAGGCATGTTTAGTCCAATGGACACAGCACATACAGTGTGCAGTTTAAGATGGCCTTGTTAATGTTAGTTGTCTGTCAGTAGTCAGTGCAATTTTATTAGATGTTTTGCCTTCATCACTTAATGTTTATAAGTTTGTTTACATCTAATTTGACAAACAATATTAAATGTTTCTATACGTAGGCTCTTCCAGGCTTTGGGAGGCAGCTAGAAAGAGTAGTAGAAATTGGCCAAATAAAGAGATAACGTGCCAGGGAAGTTGGTTCGCTAGAGAGTACAGTTTTGCCACACTGATATATGATAATTGGCCAAATTCTACTTTGTAGCCACCTCCCGCTTGGTAGAAGCTACATGTAAATGTATACTAGTATGTACAACTACAACTTGTAGTAATAGTCCATGCTGCTGATTTCCCAGGGAGCTGAGATCACAGCCATAGAAGGAGACAGTAATGAGATGAACACGCAGGCGACCCAGCTACTGGTGACGTGGCAGGACAGGGAGGGGCCGCGCGCCACGGTCGACATCGTCATGTCAGCTCTGGAGAACGCCGGCATGCAGGACATATCTGATGTAGTGTTTGGGGAGGGGGAAGAGGCTGCATCATCGCCTGTATAGGCCTAAAATAGCTTCACAACTTTGTCAGATTTCAGTCATCTCTTTGTTGTGTTAATGAACACTTTGGGTTTCTACTACATACGTCTTGCTATTGTCTTCTGGCAAACTTGATACATGTACAAGGAAATATGTACATGTATCTTCAGAATTTTGCCATCTGATTCTTGTATTTTTGCTGTAACATCTTGTTTGATACTTGCATACATGACAGTCTAGAAGTACAAGGTAGCTTACCCTTGTTACAAGGGCCTCAAATTTCCCTCTGATAATAACAATATGGAAAAGACATTAGAATGGATGGGTCACACTATGTTAGTTGTTATTGTTTGAATAAAACTGCAAGATGCTGTTGATTCATCCAGTAAGATTTTCTTTGATTCCTTCTCAGGCATCTCAGTTCAATTTGCTATACAAACATGAGCAGTTTTGGTTTTGTCTACCATACAACATGCAACATTTTTATATACAATCATCTAGTACTGAGTAAAGCCTACTGTGGTCCTGTGCTGTTGTGAGTAGCTGTATAGTTGATGACGTATCATTGTTTCAGCCCTCCTCGTCAAGTTGAAATAAAATGTGTACTTGGATTTTTTTCTTTAAAAGTCTTGTGTGGATGATCATTTGGTAAACAGAGCCATATACTTCAGGTCCTCAAAACAGATGGGGGACTGCAGTCTGCACGTTTTATCCACTGCTGAATGACACATGATCTATCAACAAACACATTGTACTTGGAAGTTTGTCATTCGGTGAAGGGAGAGAAGGCATGAGCTTGTAATGTCAGAATTTGTCCAAGTACATCCTGTTCCTAACTGCACGGTTGAAAAGTGTATCAGTTGTTCCTCCAATCATTGCTCCAAACCATGCCCAACGACCCCCCCCCCCGAAAAAACGGCAATATACAGTTTTTGTAATGTTTGTAAGAGAGGACACCTGAAGTTCCAGAGAAAATCGCTACGAGGCCCAGTAGATAATTGTTTCTTCATTAGATCAAGACCCAAAATATCGTTAAAACCAATCTACTGCTTCTTGGGTAATCCCATTCCTTCAGACGCACACATAAAACAACGCCAGAACGTAAACTGTAGCGGAAGTAAAAAAAAAAGCGGAACTGAAAAAGCAGCGTCAACATGACACATGTCTGTGCAATTTAATAGTCTCTAGTGTCTCTCAGGCAGTGGATAGACCTGGTCCGCCAGTTTCCTGCCCCAAGGCCATATCAAGATATGCATTGACAGGCAGCCGGCATTGTTTGGCCACACAAAGCAAAAACATGGGCTCATCCTCGGGGTTTTCGAGCTAATCACGCGATCTATTCATCGTACCCTCCGCCACGGAGAAGCCACATTTGAAGCCTCCTGTGTCGGTTGGGACGACCTTAAGGGTCATCAGAGAGTAACATCACGGCGCATGTGCCACACCTCACACCTGCACTGTCTGGTCCCAGGACGATGTGTTCATCTCCTATGTTCTAAGACTAAGAGGTGTTCCAGTTTTATCCTGCGGTAGGCAGGGGTTTGTGCCGGTGAGATCCGTCTTACTTGCTGCAGAGACAACATGCCCAGGTAAGCCCTGATGTTTGTGTCAGGTAACAATAGGTGAC